TGATTCATATGTCTCAACCTATAACTTATCTTCTATATCCTCTATATGTATAACCAAACTGTACAACCTTTTAACTAATCAAAGTACACTTTTGAACTTGTTTATTGGATATATCACACAGCGAAACAGTATTGATCAAAACATCATCCAGTAAGTAATACTCTTTCAGTGTGTGATGTTTGCAATAAATAAATTAATGTGGAATTGTATGCCACCACAGTGCTCAAGTTATACACAAATATCAATGACTCTAAAATGTGAGCCTTTTTTTTAATCGTTCCTACTGCAAACTTGAAAAAATTTAATTGTTCGCCTTTGTGTGCTTGTTAGGAATAAATAAATTGGGCTCAAAACGTCATGAGTCGGTAATACTATATCACTATGTTTAATCAACAGCAACGAGAAATTAGTTTCTAATGTAAGGGGCATGATGTAAGGCATAAGAGCTTTACTTTTGTTATTATATTCGAATTAGTTCATTCTACGAAATGATTTCGGTATTTAAAATTGTGTCCAAATTGACTTGGTAATTTTATCATGATTGAAATAAACAGTATGACAGAATTCATCTGGCAGAATTATCCAATCGATATGACCATTTTTAAATTTCACCTGTGATTAATTCTGGCCTGATTACTGACTGACTGACTGACCAAATTATTTGCCTGACCTATCCATCTATCATTCATTAGTCAACTTTGACCTACTCTTCTATCCCCCACAGTTCATACATTTGTATTCATGGTGTGAAAAATTCACATGTGACGTGAATTACCGAGGCTGAAGTAAGCAAGTGGTCACTCCCCATGACTTCTCTTCAATTCTGTACAGTTATTTCTTTGGGTTTAGATGTACAATAGTGATTAGCCAACAGAGGTCAAAGGTGACTGTAACTGTTAGTAAAAAGATAACCTAGTGTCTGAAAAACATCGGATAACCTTGCGTAATCGATGAAGCTTACAAGTAATCAGTGTAAAGTGATGAATGATTATTTGGAAATAATGAATAGGTTTGAGAGAGAGAGAGAGAGAGTAGAACTCAACTATTCATATTATCACGTAACTCCTTTTTAACAACTCATCACCTTTGTTACTACACCAGTTTCGCTAACTCCCAAATACCTTGACCGTTTTTGACCGTGTTATGTAACTCCATCTAAAACTTACTAATTTTCACCTGTTTAGTTAAAATAACCATAACGAAACTGTATTTTTGTTTGACAGACTTAATGTACACATACAAACATACATACATACAAAATAACTCATGTATATGTATTTGTGATTGTGCAAGATAAGAAAATGAATTCGTCGAGAGGAGACTCGTCGCTGAAGTACGTGTTTTATTTCCATTAATGACTCAAAATGATCAAAACAAGGTATCACAGGGTTTATTAAGCAACTAATAAAGAATAGAAGGGTAAAATGTGTTAATGAACCTTCTTGTATATGCATACAAACAGAATATTCTAGAGTTAAGAATGAAAGTTAATTAACTAGAGGTGTAGAATTTGCAACATATTTTACATTAGAGTAAAGTAATTTAGTTGAATAGAGGTCAACAACAGTCAGGTCAAGAGTATGGATAAAGACAAAATTAGGCGTGTGAAATTGATTTGTGAAGACAATATAATTAACTTCATACATCGGATTACCTTGATAAATTTCGATAGAGAAAGAAAGACCAGATTTGCAGTATAAAATGATATCATTCTTTTTCACAGGTCCTCATCCTCTGCAGACTACCTGAAATTACAATGCTTATATAGACGATAATAACATACTTTAGTGTTTAGGTGGTAGTAGAGAAGAAATACTATAAAACTGACACATTCAAATACTGAGCATCATACGACTAATAATCCCCCATACGTGTTATTTGTGTACAAATCAGAGTACACTTAAAGTGGAACACTGTGTCTTCTGGCAGTCTGACTCGACTTTATTTGAGGAAATATTAATCACTCAAACAGTATCGATTAGACAATACCTCATTTAAGTTTACTGTTGAGTGACGGGTTACGAGTGAGAAGAATACTCTCGTACATACAATGCTTCCACTACTGTCGTCAACACTTTGAGGAGGATACCGAAGGCAATACTAAGATATGAAGATCCATTCTTCTGTAAAGGGCCATTTATTTTACGAGACATGCAACTGTCCAGTTTAACAGAAGAGCACTACCTCCTGATCTATTAGTTATACTATCAACAACATGACTTTTAACGTAGTTTAAGGACGAATATTTAGTCTGCAACTTACACAGGAAACATTGGCTAATTAAATTATCTTTCCATCCTTTGTGACAATAATCAACACAGATTTCAATTACTGTAAGATAATGATGCAAAACAACTGAACCAACTGATACAATTCTTATTTGATTTTGAATTTTCGGTATCTTAACTCATAGAAGTGAAATGAGTCGAAAAATTCGAGTATCAAGATACTTATTAATTGATTAAATCAAGTGACTGTGCGAATATCTTACAAACGGATATCAGAAGGTGTGGACGATTGAATTTCGGTTTGTTGACCGGATTAGTGCGGTAATGGATACTATGTTGCTTGTGATTTTAGTGCACTCTATTGGAATAAAAGCATTATTAGTGAGGTGTTACGCATCAGAATGGAATGACAGTTCAGTGTTCCGTAGTTCTCACTGATTATCTAGCTAATGTTCAAACCAGAATCTACTTTTGAAGTGAACTTATACAGATCAGGAATTATTGTCAAACATCGTTTATTCCATGTATGCATTGTAAAGCACTCTAGTTATGAAAGCATGAACATCTCTGGAATATAGCTCTCTAAGATGAACAATTCAGGAAATACTATTGATAGGGTCCACTCTTAAAAAAGTAAAGCAGGTCTGTGGCATATATCATATATTTACATTTCTTGTGCCATTTACAGTGTGATGCAGTTCACATGCTGTGAACACCTCAGATTCTCAAACGGGACTAAGACAGCATTTTATCCCGTGATATGTACTTAGCATACAACTGACTTAATTATGAAGTTATTAATACTTTGAAAGAGAAATTATTTTAACACAATCTTCTGTACTTCCTCTAACACACTGACTGCGGGTGAAATCACAGCACTGGTGCAAAGTACCTACTTAGCTTGAAATAAAATTAGATCTTCCAGAATAATGTAGACAGAGTGAACACGGAGACTAAGCAGAGTAATCGACACTCACTTTTTTAGACATATGAATTCCTAGTGCATTCTTTTACTTCGAGTGGAACCCGAAAGGGAGGCGGCGAGTTGGTCGTCCAAGGGTGACTTGGAGGAGGTCATGTGAAGAGGAGATGAAAGCATGTGGGCAGACCTGGAGCAGGGTGAAAAAGTTGTCAAAAAACCGAAGTCAATGGAGGTGCGCAGCTGAAGCCCTATGTTCCTCTAGGAACTAAAGGATACGATAATAATATAATAATTCTTTTACCTTCAACTCATAGTACACCTATCGAAATCGGTTCTTTGTGGAATGGCTAGACGTCCAGTGCCTAACGACAACAAAATGTCAAACCCTGTCAATATCAACCAGTGTTATTTAACTTGCTACAGCTTTAAATACTAACACCTTATTTTTCTACACAAAACTGATGGAATCAACCGGTGGACAACGGTTTAGCCATACCATACACACAAGCTTAAATAGACTGAGTAGACACACTACAGTACACCTGAACACAACAAGCTTGTTTCAGTCTGAAGTGAATAAATCAAATGAAAGGATTTTGGGTAAGGCATATCATTAGCTTAAGGAAACAGTTAGCACTGCTTGAATTCAAGTATTGGTTGGTAGGGATTTGGTTGAATGATTACAGGATTTCATCATGAGCTGACATTGGTTAGAGAACCACTGGAAAACCTGGGAGTACTGGACAGCTGTTTCGTCCTAGTTTGGGAATCTTCCAATGGTTCTCCAACCAATGTCAGCTCATGATGAAATCTTGTAACCAATCAACCAAATCCCTACAAACCAATACTTGAATACCAATTAGATGCTCACTGGTGACTGGCCCTATTCAGGTAGGTAGTTACCTGGGGTTCCAGTGGGAAGTCATGACCAGTAGGGTGCAGCAGGTTGGGTGTGAGGACAAATACTCGCCGAAGACATTGGCTAGCGGTTGCGCTATATCGTGAATTGGCAGAAGTTAGAATTCATGGGCCGTTGGTTCAGGTCCCAGTAGCTTAACGGTATACGAGCTCGCTAGTCTTGTAACCAGAAGGTCCTAGGTTCGAACCCCGTGGTGTGGGTGCGTACTGATGAAGAGTCCCAAACTGGGACGAAACAGCTGTCCAGTACTCCCAGGTTTTCCAGTGGTTCTCTAACCAATGTCAGCTCATGATGAAATCCTGTAACTGCTTGAATTCTTGGCAAGCATGAGCATATTACATGAGTTTGCAGAACTAAATAACTAGAGCAACCAAAACTTAGACACAGAGATGACTATCTATTTTATTCATGTTTATAACTTGGAAGACGAATAATTCTTCCGCATTATGTATGACAACTTTTCGATTACATGAATATATAACAATGTAACTCGTCAATGGCATAGATATACAGGAATCGAAAGCGCTTAGTAAAGTATTAATGGATTCTCAAAGGAATTCTGTGTATACACACAGTCCTATCTTTCAGGCAGATGCTTACAATTTAAGAGTGATAAACTAGACGGAAGCAACTTTCCACTACTTATTAAATATTCATTACTGTTATTATTACGTTATTCTGGAAACGTTTCCTTCTTTCAAATCCGAATCAAAGACAAAATTGCATGTATATGCGTGTGTGCGTGTGTTTTTATTAAGATGAAATAATGAGTATGAAAAAGGCATAAAATACAGCAACAATACGGAAACAAAAGAATAAAATCATCACAGCAACAATAACAACAGGAACAACAAAACTTGAAAACTTAATGCATATATGCAAATGCAATATATCATCATTCAGCGTGCATATTTCACATGAGAGGTAGGGGTTATTTCGCTTTGTCTATTTCACTCTTTCCTACTTCTTCTCCTCCTTCAGATTTATCACGTCTATTAACAGATTTCACTGTACCATTTCTAGTATTCTTATTGTTCAATGTTTGTTTAGAAGGCGTTTTCCCATAGATTTGATCAAGCAGTAAACCAGAAAATACGCAGACAGTTCCAATCCACTGGCGATTGGTCATAGTATGACTGAATAGAATAATTGAGAAGAGAACTGTGAAAAATTTCCGTGTTGTCGTTACAACTGAACAAGTTAGTGGACTGAAATTTGTGATCAAACCGAACAGGAATAACTGAAAGAAAAAAAAAATATATATATATATATAACAATACACAAAGGGAAATAAGTATTAGATTACTACAAGGATAAAGTGTCCAAAGATATTGATTGCATCATGCATAGAAAGGATAACAGTGTTTGTTTAAACGAAAAGCTTAATTTATCACTGAATACTTTCTTCACAATACAACTTACTAACTTGTTAAAAGTTTGTTAATGAGTTCTATTCAATATATGAGAATATAATTATATCATTTGTTTTCTAGGAGAAAGATTTAAGTCTAGAACGGATTGCACCTAAGTTAAGTGCAGAAACGAACGAACTAGGTACCACTGAATCACTGATTTGAAATAATTTAGGTGAAAGACACGATCTAAGACTAATCAACTATAATTTTGACTGTACGCTTGTCAACTATTGGATCGAAGAATACTGATTTCTATTAATTTCTTTAAATTCAACATTCTTAACAAATTACTTAGCCGTCCTATACCTAAATAGATTCAGTTTTGTGAAAAGTTATCAATCGGTTATCCTGCATACTTGGTACAATGAAAAGGAGAATAAACCTTATCATACAGTATCCATGCGCTGGTGGCACAGAGGTTAGGACGCTCGCCGACCATGCACATGGTCCAGGGTTCCATTCCCGGCCCCCGACGCACTCCTTTACCTCGATAAGCCAGAAATAATGTTGGTAAAGAGGAAAGGTTGGGCATGAGGCTAGTAACCCCACCCTGTAAAAAGAAATACCACTGCTACCGAAACTTCAAGCCTATTGCTTGAAGCCCTATGTTCCACTGGGAACATGAAGGAAAAAAATACGGTACCTAACAAGTAGTTGAGATCAAAGATAAGCTATTATGGTATCTGATAAAAATACGTCCTAAGAGAAATGTGAACTTGAAAATAAGAAAAAAAATAATTTGAGTAGGAGGAGAAATCAGTTTAACTTTATTAAGTATTGCTATCTGTCAACAATTTGAAGCATTTAAACCTCAGAATATAGTACGACTTTATTACAATTTACTTCACTGATTAGGATTCAGTGGCAGAAAAATAAGACGTGTTGGTGGTGCTAGTGAGATATCTTAAAACATAAAATAAGCGTTTAGTTTTATCAGAAGTCCTCTGGAAATTAGGAATGATAGGAAATCACTGATGATTAGAAATCGATGCTACTAACAGAAAGTAATGTGTGTATGACTTAGTTCTATACAAAATCTGAATACGATTCAAATAACCAGTACGTAACATCCCTTAACAACAGTTCTTGATAACCATGAGTTTAGATCTCTTAGAAAATCGAGTAGATTAGATGTCTGGAGTGAATCAGCAGGAAAATTACTTAATACAGACTTCGTGATTCTTAGGACTCATGAGTATGACTTATCTGCAGCTTCAAAACATCTATACTCCCCTTCTTCGTGATTTGATATCTGCCACTCAGTATAGAATTCATAAACTTTACTATTGTTATTCTGACGGTCGCCTGTGGGAATTGATAATGTATACTAGTTAACCGCTAAATGATGGTAAAACCATCTGTTTAGTCTGGAGTTGGTTGGTTGAAATCTGTCAGTCAAGTGTGAGACAGAAATTTCGAAGGAAACACGAGACTGATAGTCTTTTCTGTGGAGTAGCGGTTATGAAATGTAGCACAGTTGATTTCCTCACTTGTAGAACTCTCGCACAGACTCTTTTCTGAAGATATTCACCTACCCTAATAGGCATTCGACTTCAATATTTCTTTAATTTATTGTTTGATAGGATCAGTAAAACATAGTTCCTAATCGACCTAACAACTTTTAAAAATCGTTATGTTTGCTGAATCTTCAAACGAATGATAATTATAATAACAAATGTTTGATAATTTCCCAGTATATTTTCCCTGACTCGAACTGGTGATTTCAAAAACACTTGCACATTTCTTAACGGCCGGGTGAGAGATATTGTGGTTATAAATGCATAATTACAATGGCCATACGAAAAAGTATCATAGACTAGTTTTATGATACAACATTGGGTTGATTAGTGAACCGCAATTAACGTGATGAAACCTCATTGGTAGTTATCTGATCAATATTCAGGAGTCTAACGATGTTGTGAAGCCTGGCTGGTTGGTTATCTGATTAATGTATAGGAAATCAATATTCGTATAACTTAAATTCTAACCAACAGATTGTCGATCTAGGCTGCGGTTACCCACAACAAAAACGATCACCTCTTCTTTAAGTATGTAAGTATTTATAACAGTAGTGAGCACAGCAGAAAATATTTCAATTAAGACGTCTAAACTATATGTAATCCAACTATTCTGCATTCTTTAGTAAGTCTATGAAGAAAGTTCACACCAGATAAACAATGAGCAATCACAGTAGAATAAACACCAATGTTGATAAAAATAATGATGCTAAGAAACAATGCAGATATCACAGATAACAATGTAGTCAACACTATTTCCTATGCAAAAGATAGTTAACTCCTGCGTACATTATCGTGTTTCGATCGAATATCAATCTGATGTCATATTCTTAAGTAACCTATTCAACTAATTTTTTTAATTCACTCAATTACAGTTACTATTTGATTTCCCGAGCATCTTTGCCTGTCATCATGATGCAACCGACCTAAAACGACTAGTACGTTTACTTATTGGGATCTTAGTATGCCATAAAAGTCGTTTGCACAATGTGGAGAAGGAAAATAACTAACCAAGTAATTCGAAGTTAATCTCACATTCAACAGGTCTCACTAGTCGAAAATGTGGCGTTTGAGGCAATGAATAAGTGGTATATTCGCGAAGACAACGACCGTATGTGATCCACACTTCAAATATATGGGGATTCACAAGCTTATTTCAACACTTTGAAATGTGTAAACAGACTATTAATTATCAGTCAGCTAGGCACAATTATAGCTTGGAAAACAAGTGGTAATCGCATTCACTTGGCTTGATTGAATGGTACAGTAAGAACTCAGAAGGATCCTGGGTATTGGTGGGTAGTAAAAGTTAGAGAGCCGGAGAAGAGAAATGACAGACAGTAAGAAAGAGCTGTTTAGAATGATGTAAAGAAACCTGTGGTTAGTGAGGTCAGATTTGGGAAAGATGAATTTAAAGTGGAAGCATAAATGAAAGATCTTGAGCAAGAACTAAGTTGTTTACAGGAACATTTTGTTTACTCATAACACAGTTATAGCTTGATTAAAAGATTGACTTCGACTCTTACACATGTAGAAGTGAAGCTGAGAGTGACCTAAAACGATTATAAGTAGTTAGTGACGGAAATTAATGAAACTACTGGTCAAAGTCACTCGTTAAACTGGTATGTTCGCTAAGTGATAATGAACAGAAATAATTCACTTTGACTAGCTTCACTAGTTGATTGCTACATTTTCCAACGAAAGATGAAAATCGTTTAGTGGTAACCCCCAAAAATTACCTTAACGACCATAATTCTTCATATTTGGTTAGTCTCTGGATATAAATAATTAGTATCTGACAACGCCTGTAAGTCTTAATCGGACTATGCTGGTCGACAGATCTTATTAGATAGCTCTTAAAAGCAATGATGAGTGAGTTGGTTCACATTTGAACACTCAACACACTATTGGAGCCTTCAGTTTGCTATCTCACCAAGTACGGACTTAGAGTGATGTCTACCAAATATGACCAATTTTTTTTTATTACAGCTTGATTCCACATCGTATTTTTATTGGTACAGGTATGGAATTTTCAGCATGGATATCGGTAGCCCAAATTCTGCAGGCCGACCGTAGATATCAGGTGTGCGTCGGCAGGGGATCGACCCCGGACCATATGCATGGTCGGCGAGAGTCCTAGCCACTGTGCCACCGACACACAATAAAAAAGATATATTAATTCCAATTTGCACTTCAATGAATTCATTTCGTGAAAGGTTTTCAAGTTGGACTAATCCCAATAAATAACCTCGTTTTATTAAGGTACGTTAAAGAGATGCAATAATTCCATCGACATAATTAAAATATTTTGTACGACTACTTATTATTATCTATAGTTTGGTTTGTAAGGGTTTGTTATGTTTTTACGAGTTGATCACGGATTGATATCAGTTAGAGAAGCATTGAAAACCAGAGAGTACTGGACAACTGCTGTTTCATCCTAGTTTGGGAATCATCGGCAGTGCTCACCCACTGGGTTTCGAACCCAGAACCTTCCGGCTACAAGGCAAGCACGTATACCATTCAGCCAATGGGACCCGATTCAATGGCTCATGAATTCTGACTTCCACCAATTCGTGATTTAGCGCGATCCCAACCATTGTCGTTGGTGGGACATCCATCCACACACGTGACATCTAATTGGACCTCACTGGTCACGACTTCTCACTAGAACTCCAGGAAACTCCAACCTGTAGCAGGTCACTAGCGAGCATCAGATTAATTTTCTATAGTTTGGTATGTAAGGGTTAGTTTTGTTTAAATTAATCTGATGCTTGCTAGTGACTTGCTAGAGGATGGAGTTTCCTGGAGTTCTAGTGAGAAGTCGTGACCAGTGAGGTCCAATTAGATGTCACGTGTGTGGATGGATGTCCCACCAACGACAATGGTTGGGGTCACGCTAAATCACGAATTGGTGGAAGTCAGAATTCATGAGCCATTGAATCGGGTCCCATTGGCTGAATGGTATACGTGCTTGCCTTGTAGCCGGAAGGTTCTGGGTTCGAAACCCAGTGGGTGAGCACTGCCGATGATTCCCAAACTAGGATGAAACAGCAGTTGTCCAGTACTCCCTTGTTTTGAATACTTATTATTAATCTTGTTTATAAGTTCTTAATTTACTTGTAGTTGCTGAAACACTTTGAAATATTTTTTGATAATAAGACTGTCCCTGTAATCAAAATTTAGACTTTAAATGAATAAACAGACTATTCATGAGTTGTTTCTAACAGTAACTATGACTCAGTTTGAGCCATAGCTGAAATCGAGGGTCAACGGTAGCTTATCGGAAATTGCAGAAAAATGTGCGTATTTATTTAACTCAGTGACTAAAATTCACATATGGAGTTGCAAAAGTGGGAAACATATACAAAATAACGGTTGACTAACCTGACCAACAGCACTTATCACGGAGAAAATAGCCATATCAGGAAGAACGTGAGGATACTTTTCCACGAATTTCACAAATTTCAAAACTTCCCCGGTAGCTAAACTTGCTTGATAAAAAATAAGTTACATAGAGAATTTACAGTAATTACATTAAATTAAAGAGAAGATGAAAAGCTATGAAATAACTTCATCGAAAACTAGAAGCGGAGAATTCTATGAGGAAATAGCAGTATTTTTACATTCTTATGGAGTAAATGTCAATCACTGTACAGCCAACAGGTGATCACATCTAACAAGTAAACTATACACCAGAGGTGCTTAGTGGCATAGTGGTAGAATGTTCGCCAACCATGCAGAGGGTTCGGGGATCGATCCCCGGCAGACGCAGTCCTTAACCTCCATTAGTCAGTGATCAAACTGATAAAGAGGGAAGTTTGGGCATGAGGATAGCATCCTGTAAAAAGAAATACCACTGCTACCGAAACTTAAAGCCTATTGCTTGAAGCCCCATGTTTAATTGGAACGTAAAGGAATAAATAATAAAAAATACACCACAGGCTATCATAATAGCGCGTTGATTTATTTAACTGACATTTACGAAATAATAAGGGGTAAATAAGGGGATACATTTTTGGGCCACGTGCACCATGAAGTTGACGAAACTTTAGAAGAAGTGGATTGTTGCAAATTTCTGACTAAATACATTTATTGGTAAATTCGATTGAGATCCACATCCGTAAAGTATCATAATAAAAGATTTCTGCTGTCAAAAATATCTTGGTGGGTGAGACAGCATTTTTCAACAGATGTTTAAGGCCGTTTTCAGAAGTAACTACGACTACACCTACTTTCACAAAAGGAGAGTTTTAAAACTCTAGAATTAGTGTACTCTAAGAAGGCCTTTCGTAACGAAACATATATGTAGTTTGAGTCTGATGCGATAATTGTAAAACACATCTTTAATGACTGATTTTCAGACTGTAGACTTTGTTACGACTCAATAAGCTCAGTACATGTAGTAGGAAATGTGTACTAAGTAACTGAACCGCCAAGCTAAATATACCTCAAGACCAGAATCTGAGTACCATTTAGCGTCTTTTATACCTACTGTATCCGGCCTCTCAAAAGAAACACGAATGTATGTATACATATATATGCCTACAAAGACTACACTTCTTAAAACGGAAATCACATTGACGTAAACTAAGCAGATGAACTTTACTTCTACTAGTACTTAGTCATATTTTAAAATCGGATATTATGAATGAATACCTTTTAGTACTCGACTTACCAGCAAGTACGAAAATGACAGACCAAAAGTTCATATGCGACATAAGTGTGCATGGACCAACATTATGTCTTTTTAGATCTTCTTGAAGACCAGCAGTAATGCCATCAAAAAGTAAAGAACACAACTGGAACATTATTGAATAGAACTGAAAAATTATACCAAGAGAAGCTCTCCAAAACCAAAGCCGCCTGTGAGCTCTACTGTCGAATGCCCCTTATACATGAAAAGCGCCACACCAACAGAAATCATAGTCATAAAAATGTACTTTTGCAGTGGATAACGTCGTTTCCCTAGCAGAACACTCAGAAGCATGACAGGTACCGGCTTTATGGACTTTCCTACCACCTATAGAAATAGTTAAATGATGGAGAAACTAACCTGAGTTGGGTAACTGACATAACTCAAACTTGTATTGCTTGCAAACATTGCAGTAATATAGGCAAAACCACACATGGCGAACTTATATCCCCTCGCAGTAGATGGAGATTCTGGGTTTAATTTTAAAACTACAAATAGACTTAAAAGGAATGACATATATACATACCTATTTTCGCAAAAATAAAGTTCACCGCACATTGCAAAAGGAGAAGTGATAAGTAGAAATTGAAAGACTCTTTTTCTGGACCATACTTAGTTTTGGTACTATGATAATATGTTATGACTTTTAGATTAGGAAACTTACATTTTTTCTTGGTATATGCCATACACCAAGTATGATAAAAACACACCACCACAACGAATCACCAATGAGTATAGATCTAGCAAGTGCATCGCAAATTTTGAAAAATCACGAATGACAGATCACCTTTCTCGATACAGTAAAAGTAATAAACATACATTTATCTCACTCTTTATAGTCGGAGAATCTATTGCACACAGTGTTGTAACCAAAATTTCGGCAAAGCAAGAGTGTAAGCAGACAAACTGCGCAAATGAAACAGCAACAGCTTGTAGCGGTAAATAATTCCCCAAAATTATTGACCACAGCAATCACTCATTGGATGCTGACCACCACTGTTTAAGTCGACTTGTTTAGCTGAAGGCTTCCGGTCAAGCATCCCCGCCATTTGGTACCCCGTCGTGTCACGTGCACGATCACTAGCTAGCTAAGCGTTCGTCTGACGGCTTGATTTGGTCCCAACCGCGAACTTCATCCACGATAAATCCACAGATAACCCCGGTGAGTTCGTTCCATTTTGTGTTTGTTCTTGTACCATATATTACTCGACGTAATTTTCGTCATGAGTGATCTTAGTTCCAAGGTCATTCGTATCCGCTCAACTCCTAAAACCATTCAGCTCGTACCATACTGGCCAGATAATGCTGAGACGTGGTTTCAGCTAGCTGAAGCAGATTTTTGTGAGCATGGGATAACCGATCAACGTTCACAGTTACTTGCAGTTATTCACGCCCTACCGCGGGAATTCAGCAAATACATAACATCGCAGATGTTCAGTCCCGAGGTAAGTAACTCGTACGAGTTGCTCAAAGCATCCCTCCTCAGGAGAAACGTTCTCACGGACCGACAACGTCTGGACGAATTATTTCGTAACATCGAGTTAGGAGATCAGTCAGCCGTGAGCATGCTGACAAGAATGAAAGAAGTCGTTGGCCATAGTCAGTTCGACGAAGGACTGTTTAGAGAACTCTTCTTAACCAAGTTGCCACAATCTGTACAGACCGTACTTGTGACACTTGAGGGTACTGTAATAGAGAACTTAGCTATTACTGCAGATAAGATTCTAGAGATAACTAAACGGTCTGTCCCCGAAATATGCTCAATGACTAAGCAGACTTCGAGTAAGGATCCTGCAATGATAGAGTTATGCAACTCCATCCAGCAGATGTTTAGGTCGAACATGCATTCTAACTCCTCCGACCGTCGTCCTAAATCTCCTCAACGCAGGAACTCACGTGGTCGATCTAAGTCCAAACCACGTTCTCTGAAAAACCCTGACTGGTGCTGGTACCACAACACCTATGGCCAAGAAGCGAAGTGTTGCCGTAAGCCTTGTAACTTCAACAATGTCTCAAAGTCTGTTGGAAACTATCCCGCCGGCACGCGTTAGCGGCAACCGTCGCCGGTGGCACTAGCCGCCTTCTTTACATCCATGATGTGATAAGCCAGACTCGATACTTAGTCGACACAGGCGCCGAAGTCAGCGTCCTTCCTGCTACAGCAGTAGATCGACAGAAGGAACCTACCTTCAACTTACAGGCTGCAAATGGAAAACCAATCGCAACCTTTGGTAGGAAATACGTCTATCTGAACGTAGGTTTACGCAAACCTATTCGGTGGATTTTCCTTCGCGCTGACGTTACAATGCCCATCATTGGCACGGACCTACTTAATCATCATGATTTACTCGTAGACGTCCGCCGAAAACGACTGATTGACAATACTACTAGTCTGTCTATCAAAGGCATCAGCTACATAGGCCCTAGTTTGTCACCCGTTAAGATAAAGGCAATCCTTGATCCAACTTTTCAACCTATGGTTGACAAGTATCCGGAACTTAATTGCCCGTCGAACGACCTACCGTGCATAACCAGCAATGTTATGCACCACATCATTACCACAGGACAACCTGTGACATCTAAAGCACGACGATTAGCTCCTGACAAACTGAGAATCGCCAGGAATGAATTTGACCATATGCTTACCCTTGGCATCATTCGACCTTCGAATAGCCCATGGGCATCCCCACTTCATATGGTTCCAAAAAGGATAGCAATGATTGGCGACCCACCGGTGATTACCGGAGAGTGAATGCCAAAACAACCCCTGATTGCTACCCGTTGCCTCATATACACGACTTGACGGCAACATTATCTGGCATATCTGGCATTATCTGCCATATTCTCTAAAATCGACTTGGTTAAAGCGTATAACCAAATCCCGATGGCAACAGAAGATATTCCGAAAACGGCTATCATTACGTCTTTCGAACTCTACGTATGCCATTCGGTCTCCGGAATGCAGCCCAAACATTCCAACGCTTCATTGACGAAGTATTTCGCGGTCTCGACTTTGTATACGCATACTTAGACGACTGCCTCATTGCCAGTCCAGACAAGGAAACTCACCTTAGGCACTTGGACTTGGCATTTGAAAGGTTACGCCAACATGGTGTTACCATTAATATTCAAAAGTGTCAAATCGGTGTTGACTCACTCGACTTCTGGGTCACACTATTGACTGCAAGGGCATTCGCCCACTGGCTACTAAGGTCGAGGCTATACTGAACTTTCCAGAGCCACAGACGGTGAAAAGTCTCCGCACTTTTAACGGCTTAGTAAGTTATTATCGACGCTTTATTCCCAACTGTGCCTCTTTGATTCAGCCATTGACAGACCTCCTTCGAGGGAATAACAAGTCCATAGAACTTGACGCGTCTGCTCGAAATGCTTTTACCCAGATTAAAAAAGCTATTGCGAATGCCACACTTCTGATGTATCAGGATCCAACGGCACCGTTAAGTATCTCGGTTGATGCATCAAACACTGCAATCGGCGCAGTTCTACAACAGCTAGTTGACAAAGAGTGGCAACCACTCGCCTTTTTCTCGAGACGCCTTCAATTAGCTGAAACGAAGTACAGCACATTCGGCAGAGAACTTCTGGCTATGTACTGTGCTATACGACATTTTAGACATTCGGTAGAGGGTCGTGAATTCATAATTTTTACTGATCACAAACCTCTGACGTACTCTCTGAACTCACCTTCAGATAAGTATTCACCCAGGGAATCACGACAACTGGATTACGTTTCACAGTTTACATCAGATATTCGCCATGTATCCGGAGTAAACAACACTGTGGCAGATGCCTTGTCGCGCGTTTGTTCCCTCACCCAAATCGACGGCATAGACCTTGTAAAACTGGCTCGTCTTCAAAAAGAAGATACCGAGCTTCAACATGAGTTGTCGAAAACAACTCTACAATTAGCTGAGAAACCCTTAGGTATGGGAAGAGATACTATTCTATGCGACATTTCCACGAGTACTCCTCGCCCCATCGTGCCTAAAAGTTATCGCCGTAACGTCTTCAATACGTTGCATGGCTTATCTCACCCAGGTATTCGCACTACTGTCAAGCTCGTAACTAGTCGGTTTTGTTGGCCTGGCATTAATAAAGAAGTAAGGGAATGGGCACAAACGTGCTTAGCTTGTCAAAAGTGCAAGGTGATAAGACACACCAAAAGCCCACTTGGCACCTTTCTTCTCCCTGACGCTCGTTTCGAACACGTCCATATAGATTTGGTTGGACCCCTTCCTGAATCCCATGGATGTACCTATATTTTAACTTGCATTGATCGATTCACACGATGGCCGGAAGCAGTACCCATCAAGGACGTATCTGCTGAAACAGTCGCACGCGTCTTCGTAGAAAGATGGATCGCTAACTTTGGATGCCCATCTTCCATAACAACTGATCGCGGGCGGCAATTCGAAAGTGGCTTATTCTTCGCCCTGACTAAAATCATAGGTTGCATGCGTTTTCGAACAACAGCCTACCATCCTCAAGCTAATGGTATGGTAGAACGTCTACACAGACAGCTGAAAGCTGGTCTGTCAGCTGCAAACACCACCCATTGGACTGAATCCCTTCCGTTAGTTCTCCTAGGGATACGAAACGCCTTGAAAACCGATGCTGGTTGTACTAGCGCCGAGCTAGTATATGGCACGACACTGCGACTGCCTGGTGAATTTTTTTCTCCCTCGAGCTTCCCACCAGCATAGATCACGCTTCATACGTCAGCAGGCTTACAAACGCAATGCGTTCAGTTAAACCTGCTCCCCTTCGTCCACAGTCCATTGATGTTTTCGTTCATCCGTGTTTAAAACTTCTTCACATGTATTTGTTCGTCGCGACTCTGTGCGCAGACCCCTGGAACCCCCATACGACGGACCTTATAAAGTAATTAAACGTTCTGATAAATTCTTTGTCTTGGACAAAAAGGCCGCGAGGACACCGTCAGCATTGACCGTCTGAAACCGGCTTACTTGGAGGGTAATCCTATTAGCATAGAGCTCAACGTACCCCAAAATCCACAAGTAACAGAAGATCGTTTAGACCTCGATGAAGGCACTAGCACAGCGACAGCTACCGAATCTTTTGTTGAGCCTCCTAAGAAAACCCGTTCTGGACGCACCGTAAGGTTCCCAGAATATCCGCACATCTATATGACTTTACGAAGTCGTGTGATTCACGCAACTCATCGTTTGTGGTACTAACTATTTTTTTGACGTATCAATTTTTTTTATATACAGTACCAATGAACACAAAAATTTTTTCTCAACAGTTCATGTAACATGCACAAAAAAATTAATTAGATGTATTTTTTCGATGTTCTGAACTTAGCATTATTTTACTGTATAGTAAATGCACATCATTTTTAAAAAAAAGCTGATTTGGTACATTTTCCTCGACATGGTTCTCAGCGTTCTTGTTTTCTTTTCCAGGTGCGACGGGCACTGGACAGGAAACAAACGAAGCACGGGATCCAACGAACAACAACAAGGAAGCTACGTACAAACACCCTATTAGCATAGGCAGACAAACCAGTAGGCATACCATCAAGCCGCTCGGAAGATTTTTTTCACCCGAAAGGGAACCATCGAGTTTTTTTATTTCCGGCTGGTTCTGTCTTAGGGTCCTCACCACCCCACTAGGGGGAGTGAGCTGTAGCGGTAAATAATTCCCCAAAATTATTGACCACAGCAATCACTCATTGGATGCTGACCACCACTGTTTAAGTCGACTTGTTT